AGAGACACATTTTAAAGGAGATCTTATCCTACTCTAAGGAAAAGTGTAAGGTAGCTGGGATGAATGCCTTCTGAATGGGTTCTTTTATACTGAGCTTAAAGAACTTTTATGGGTGAGACACCTCATTTCACCAGCCTCAAGTTGGACAAATCCCACTCAATGCACTTTGGTATGATATGAATGCCTGCACTTGAAGGGTAGGGCCTTGAGAGATCATCCTTTGTTAACTCTTTTGTTTCCCTCTACCCCCCAAATTAGAACAGAAAGATCATTTTAAAGCAGTAACAAAAATAAATATATGTGGAGAACTGAAATCTGCTTTCTGCCCTGCTTCAGGAATAATAGTCTTCCCTGTAAGACAAAGATATCTGGGGCTACAAAGCAATGGATTTGTAGCTCCCCTCCAGCTAACATCTGTTCTATTCTGCTTCATTATTTCCAAAGTCTGTATAAGCATATATAACAGAGAATTTGGCTCTGAGTTCAACTTAATTCTTTTAATTGGTGAGAATATTTAAGAGAGAAACGAAAAAAAGGGTAATACCTGGGGGATGTTAACAAGCAGAGATGATAATGTCCTCAACCCCTTTAGGATAGAGACTAAGAGATAATTACCGTTTGTGAGAAGTTACCAGGAGGTGCAGTGAGGGAAAACTGCAGTGAGCCATAAAACCACTGACTCTGTTGAGGCCATGGTGTTTAGTCTCCAGAAAAGTTACAAATTTCAGTTCCCAGGCTCATCTTTTGAAAGGTTTTTTTTCTGGAATGTATCTCCAGAAGAGGTCAAGAAAATGAGAAGTGTCCTCAGCATATCTAGAGAAACACAAACTTGTCATTTATGTGGATAAATAGAAATAAACTCATGAACTGAACATATATGTGTGCATAGAATAAAAGTTGAAAAAAAATTTTCCTTGTATTATCTGATCTCCCAGGGTAACTTGTAGCACTGACAAACTTTGCTGAAGACTTTTTTCCTGTATATCACTATATTTAAGTGAAGTCAAGGACATTAAAGAAACATGAATATTTCTGATGATTCTGTTTTTTGACAGGTCAAAGTTTATTTATAATCTGCAGGAGTATTTGAGTGGTCGTTGTATATGATTGCACTGCTAAGCCTGATATTTGTATTAACAAATAGGGAATAAAAAGCTTTAGGTTTGCTAACTAGAAGTTGTCATGCCTTTAATTACCTGAGTGAATGACTCAAGACTGTTTCCTCTCTTGCAGGAAGATCAATATAAACTCCCTTTTAAAGTGATGAAACTTATCTATTGTACTCACATTTCTACAGAAATGAACAAAATACTTTTCTAACCATGACTTCAGATGTGCTGTGAAAGATCATCTTCAAAGATTGACAGTAGTAGATTATTATCAACCAAGCAGGGAGCTACAAGGCACTTGGCTACATATTTTAGAAGGTTTATAGACAACTATCCCACAAATGTAACTCAAAAAATACATCCTGAGTACTAAAGGTGGATGTATTTATAGATGCGCGTGTACATGTGAGGTATATAATGTGTAATGGTGATTCTTTGATTACCTTTATATTATAGCTGAAATGAAGTGTTTGTATATTCCCATCATTTGTGGTATGTATTTGTTGGTCTAAGGTTTACTCTGGGTAAAACTATCCTTAAAGCAAACACTCAGTTCTGTGTTATATCTCTGAACCTGTAGGTTAACTCCATGTGGTTTCAACTTCAACCATTTAACAACAAATTATTATTTATGTAAACTGTCAAATCCACACAGGACAAGCAACTGCAAAAGAAGAAACTGAAGTACATAAACCATAGCAAGAAACATAAGGCTCCCATAAGAGACTTTCCCTTTCTGTATTTAGTCCAGTAAGAGTGAATTATTCATTACAATCAAGCAAAAGCTCCCCCAGTTTTGCTATTTCATCCACAAGTTTGTTGAAAATTAAAGCTCAGTGTGAAGCCTCCAGAGAGTTAAATAACACCTGCAAAGAACAGAGATTTCTCTGTAAGTTAAATTGCTGTTTGATTGCCCAACCGTCAGCAAAAATTATAATTGGGAGAAACTTAATATTTTCTCTGTATTTAACTGGTGAGGATTTTGTGGAGTGTCATTTTACGTTAAGTAGTAGAGTCATAATTTAGAATGTTTTACAGCGACTAACTGTGTTTATTTTAATAGTGAGATTTCTATGAGATTTCTGTTGCTGTCAACTGCTATTGCAACTTTATGCAATACACAATTAGAAACCTGTCAATCATAAAGAAAATTGTCAGAGACAGGCTTTAAACTATGGATTTTTTTCCTCATAATTTCTTGTGAATGTAGAAATCGATACTTTCCCCTACCTAGCTGTATCTTACGAGATAGCAAGGTAAGTCACGATTTTGATCTCTACATCCGTAGCATATGTAGACTCAGCAGCTCCCTGGACAGCAGAGGAAACTACCTAAGCTGTAAATTTTTGTTTCTTCCAGATATTTCAGGTATACACTCATAACTAACTTGAAAAATTAATGTGGAGCTCCTAAGTCAAATTGGATATTAACATTATTATCTATGCGCAAAGGAGAGAGAAAGAAAAAAAGTCAAAATGTCTTGTTGCCATACTGTGTGCTGCATTCTTACACACTGAGGTATCATTGCCTGCATTTTTCTTGACCCCTCTGTAAATTCACAGCTCATGTTTGGAGCAGGATTCAGGCTTCTGCCTCATGACAGTAAGACAAACACAGCATGAAATGGATAAAGCTTTTACTATTCAAGATAGGTCTACAGCGAGCCTCAGACAGACTTCTTTTTACCTGTCCTCTGAAGAGAACCAGCTCTGGGCCACAAGCCAAGTATCCCTGCTAGCAAGAAGTAGTGCTGAATTCACCAGTTTGTTCAGAGAATTAATTGCTTGATTCAGGCAGGTCACCATGTTACCTTTACAGGATGTGCCTTCTGCATGGGCACTGCTTGGGCTCTGCCTGCTCATCTTTGGGCAAATGTGCTTTTGAGTGGCTTAATTTAAATCACAGTGCACAACTTACTTACTTACATGATTGCAGAGTCTAAGCTTTACTTACCAGCAAGCTCTTTGCTCTAAGGAATATACTTTTGAATTATGTACAGAATGATGCCAAGAACCAGTTGGTATAGTCTTCTGTCCCTCCTTATTAATCTTTTGCAACCCTTCTAATTTCCGTGCTTTGCAGAGAAAGCTCAAGTTCTTGTCTCACTGAACTCAAATTTAGGATTATATTCATAGCTGTTGGGTTGGAATTTTTTTTCTTTCTCCCTTCCCTTCCCTTCCCTTCCCTTCCCTTCCCTTCCCTTCCCTTCCCTTCCCTTCCCTTCCCTTCCCTTCCCTTCCCTTCCCTTCCCTTCCCTTCCCTTCCCTTCCCTTCCCTTCCCTTCCCTTCCCTTCCCTTCCCTTCCCTTCCCTTCCCTTCCCTTCCCTTCCCTTCCCTTCCCTTCAAAAAAAGAACCCAACTGGTTAAAGCCTAAGGGAAGAGGAACATATCTGAGAGAGTGACAAGTGGCTTCAGATGTGTAGTTTTAGTGCACATCTGTACTAATAGTGCAGATTAAACTTCCTTAATGCAAATGAAACTTTAGTGCAGTGCAACTTGCTTTAGTGCATTCCTGTTATATGCCTTTTACAGTTAGTAGAATAAAATGTCCCTGGTGCCAAAGGCAAACACATAAGAGACAGGGAACTGATAGCTGCATGAATGTGTTAGACAGTAATATGTTGTAGGTGCTGCTGCTGCTACTATACATAATAGCTGAGCTATTCTTACTGTGCCATAGCTAAGGGCTAATATAACATAGCTTTCATTTCCTTGGATCAACATGGGATGTATTAAAAAATAATTTGCTGGGCAAGATGGGGCTTTTCAGGCTCAGATAATCCTGCCTTCTCCAGAGGTCACTGAGAAGTGTAATGAAATAACAAATACCTACTGACTGACTAATCTTTCTTTTCCACAACACTTCAAAGCATTTCCCTTTTTTCACTTAAGAATTGAACTGCAGGTAAACAGGCCTTCAGCATAGAATTGTCTGTGAAAGTCCTGCCGTGGGCTTCAGCTTCAAGCTTGTCATCTCTATGTCACTGTTGTATTATCCTAGAATTTAACTCAGCTGTTACAGGGCTAGGGAAAGACCTGGTGTTTGGCTCAGGGCTCTAGGGAAGAGGAGAGGAAGCAGGTGTGTTTTGTAAGCAAATGTCCATGTGTCAACATTCATGCACTTGACAGATGAGTATATCTGCTCCAGCTGCACTGTTCTAAGACTGGAGCCTTTAGTGTATATTTATCTGACGTATTATGTGTCTGAAATGCGCTATTTTCTTTCAGAGAATAACTTTGTGGCATAGGGAATGTAATTATGAGGATGATCTAGCATCACCACAGGATCCTACAGTGTGAACCAAGTAACTAACAGCATCAGACTGGGCTATGTATGATATAGTGGGAGTTAACCCTTATCCAAGGGAAAAGTGAAAGAGGCAAAGAGTTGGCTATCATTTTACAGAGAGGAAAAACAATCCACTGGGAGAATATACGTTGAGAAAGGCATTGGTAGTTCAGAAGTTCCTCAAAAGAGGAAATCCGAAAGAAGTATTGTGCTATTGTCTTCCAGTCCATGTTTCAAATGGTTTGTGTCATGTACAAACTTTTGTTGTTTCAAATCCGTTCTTCTAAAAATACAACACCCATGGAAAAAAATATCTTAAAGAAGGAAAAAACAGTGTCTAAAACTGAAAGAAAAGGACCCAAGGTATGCAAACCATATTCTCTCTTGCTATAGTGCTGAAGGTTGTTTTTCTGTTCCTGCTCTATGTTACAGATATATACCTGAACTTAGATACTTGTCTTTGAATTATGTTATGAACTTGTCCACAGTTTATGAGGATTTGTGTATAGGGAGTCACACCTATTTCTAAGTTTGAATTATTGTTGGAATTTAAGTGCTGCAAAAAAAGGAAACAAGAAAAGAAAAAAAATCTCGTTTTCTAGGTTGCCCTGGGGCCAAGAAGAATGAGTTCCTGACGAGTGTTTTGGATGCATTGTCCACAGATATGGTTCACGCAGTCTCTGATCCATCGTTGTCTTCTAGCCGGTGGGTTTCATATCCTTTTTGTGTGCCTTTAAGAGGACTCCGGCAGTGGTGAATGAATTGTTGAGGGCTTTGAGAAGTTATTCTTCTTATGCCTTCACAAAGGGTGAATTTCCAAGAACCTATGTAGGAGAATTTACTTCACTCCACACTGTGGACTCTCTGCACTGAACAGAGATGCACTTGATGGCTGAATTCTCAGCAGCAGCACAGCTTAGTGTTTATCTGTAGCTGCTGGTGCAACTGTATCTCAGTCTTTGTTCTCTCAGGCCTTACTTGATGAATGTGTACTACTTTTCTGATGCATATTTTGCCAAGTTTCTTGTAAAACAAACCAATGCTATCAACAATCACAGGCAGAATTAAAAATATCTAAGTGCTGTCAAACTTTGGATGTCTGCAGGACAGTAACTTACCATCTGAAATTGAGGTGGCATTTATTGTTATAAGTTATCCTGTAATTCAATACATTTGGGTTTTTTCTCTCTAAGAACATCCATCATGGGTTGTAATTGGAGCCTAGGTATTTGGCAACGCTGACTGTTGACCTGCTTTAGTTGGGTATAGTACCTGTTTTAATGTGTCTGCTGTCTATGAAACTCTCTTTTTCTCTTCTATTTCTCTCTTCACTTTTCTCTATTTCAGGAAATGAAAGGGGACAGCACTGTTTACTGAGCATGGTGCTGACCTCAACACAGTTTCAGAGAGTTAACAAAAAGCAGATTCTAATCCTAGTTCTAGTATAAAATTTAGGATACAGTTGACCAACATGAAAAAAAGATGGATTCACTACAAGAAGCTAGTGTCCAAAACCAGGGAGTCTTATCTGACAAAGCATCTGACAGTGATTAAACTATTCTGAAATAAAGATAGAAACTAAGGTTTATGTATAAAAATGAAAACAAAGCTGTTGTTTTCTGTTACAGGGTTTCAGAGCCTGATCCAAATCATACTCTGGAGGAGAGAGTGGTCCACTGGTATTTCAAACAGCTAGATAAAAATTCCAGTGGTGATATTGGCAAGAAAGAAATCAAGCCATTTAAGAGATTCCTAAGAAAGAAATCAAAACCCAAAAAGTGTGTGAAGAAGTTTGTGGAATACTGTGATGTTAACAATGATAAGTCCTTGTCAGTTCAAGAATTAATGGGCTGCTTGGGAGTAACAAAAGAAGAAGGTAAAGCAGAAACAAAGAAACGCCATAGTAAGCGCTTTTTCTGTCTTTTTCACTAGATTCTTCAGAGCTGATTAGGTCTTATATTTGTATATGCCAGAAGTATACAAAATAAAAGAATACACCTGCCTGTAGCTAATGCAGTGGTTGTTCAGAGCAGATGGCAGGAAAACTGCTTCTGTGTACACAAATCATCACTCCCATAGAATCAAAACTTCCTGTTGATTCTGACCATTAAATGTATTACAGTAGGAAACCTAAAAGGATACCATAACATCAACAGTTCTTGAAAAGCCAATTTAGTGTTATTGCAGCACTGTGTCCTGAATGAGTAAAGTACCGCACCTGTACTTTTTGGATTCCTGCTGGGAAGGAAGCACATTGTCGAGCTTTCTAATGACTTTTCATTTCTCAAATGTGGTTTAGAGATACAGTGAGGAATGCAGTTATCTTCCAAAGAGGTGGAACAGCTGCTAGTACACAGCCACCTTATCTTGCTACAGAACTGGTGAAGGAGAAACAGTGAACAAGAGTGTGTAACGGTCCCTGCAGAGTTCAGTCACACAATTCCTGATGATAAGAAGTTAAAAAACCCTATAATTGTTAACAACAACAGTAGGTCCTCATACAGTAAGAAGTTATAGAACATGAATTGTTTTGTTTGTCTAGGGCTCAAAATGAACCCAGGATAGTAAAATAAAGGTGTCATAAGAAATGAAAGCATGTCAAGTGGGAAATGCAGACAGAAAAAAACGGTTTCCACAAAATTGTTTGTAATCAAGTCTAGAAAGTAAATGCTTCAGAAAGGCAGAATAGTTCTACATTGTAATAATAAAGTGGCCATGGCTCAAAGAAGCAGATCTGTCAAAACAAATATATCAGATCCAGGATTTTGTTTTCTGTGTTTTTTGTGGACTTGATAATAATACCTTGCAATTTTCACTCAGATGATGGAAGTAAAAAGTGTGTATATAAAGGTGAATGACTGTAGTTATCTTTATGCTGTAAATTAAACGTAGTATCTTCTTTTTTATTTACACTATTTGGCAGATTAGTTTTTGAAGTGGAGGCCATTATGGTCACTTCATATGTTAACAACCGGGTCAAGACACTTCTGCTGCAACTGGCACTCCTTCGTCCCTTGTACATGAAAATTTGTGACCGAACTCATTGCCCCAGGACTTAAAGGAAAACTATAACAAGTCTCAAAGCAAACCCAGTGCCCATTCTGGTGAAGCACCACCCCCCCACCCCCCCCAAGATTAGGTGAATCTGCCTGTTTTGGAAAAGAAAGTTGTAAGATGCATGAAGTTATATGAAGATCATGCACAGATTCAGCCAAAGTAAAAATTAGGTTTACCGTAACTGGAGATTTTTAACAGAGCTTCTTAAAAAAAAAACCAAAAACAATGTAGTCAATGAGGAGAACACTTATTTTTGGAAGGAAAAAAATAGCTCAGAACTTCTGCATTGAAAAATAATGGCATCCATTTGGGAAAAGTTTCTAAACCAAGTCACTTGGGTGCTTTCCTAGAAATACATGCTTTTAAAGACAAGATAGTAAAAGTTGCTTTTGTTGGACTATCAGTATTCTGTTTAGTTTCTCCTGCTTGATAATTAAACTTTTCTTTCTGATAGTCCTTTCACTACCTTTGCCACTTTGCTACAACTAGAGTTACATTTCTAGGAATAGGTGAGACCCTGTCACATGAGGTGTGAGAGCTGAGATAAGGAGGTGGCTCTGTATCATTCTGTGTGAGTCCCAGGTATCTTACAAGAATCATTTGAAGCCATGTAAAAGCCAGAGAGCTGTAAAACATTATTTTTCAGGGGGATACTTGTTGCTGCAGTATTTTTCAAGATCTAGTTTTGTCCCACTTTGTCCCAGTACAGCTTGACTGACTAACAAAGTGACATGGAAGACAAAAGAGAGCAAGTTCCTCCTAGCCTCCCAAGTTTGTTTGTGGAGTCGAATGGGCCAGCAGACTCAAATAATTGTTTTGCTTTGTTGGGGTTTTTTTCCCCCTATTTAGAGCAGTCTTGGACTTTGCCACCAAAAAACTTAAAACTCAGGGATAATCTTGTTTTACAGATCAAATGAGAACAATGTCTTTGGCTGTTCCTACGCAGTATCTTTAAGTAAAGTGAGTGCCTTCCAGACAGTCTGCTTGTACATGCTTCTTTGCCACTGGGATAATAGGCTATATTTACTACTAAAGATTTAAGAAGTTTGAAATGCTGGACACTGACTAGATAAATCTGTCCTAAGCAAATGTCACATATTAACTGTCAAGAAATGCCGTCATTCAACTTTCATATAATTCCATGAAAGAAGCAACATCTGTGTTGAGCAGAGAGATAAGCAGATGTTTCAACAAAAGATCTGAAATATTTTATCTCATTTATTGAAAGCTGTACTCTAAAAAATGCCTTTTCAGAATGAGGGCTTCAGTTCTTGGGAATGTTACATATAACTTGCAAACCATATCAATGTTTTCTTTTCCCTCCTTTAGCGGCCCCTAAAACCAACATTGAGAGCACTTCATCCAGCAGGCAGGTGAGTATTGAGGAGAGGAGGATATCCCTTCCTGCCTTGTCCAGCTAATCTTCTTGGGGTTTTAGCAGTTATCATTGCAGCTTCAAACTGCATTCATCTTCTATTCTGCAGATTTCCCAGGAAAATGTAAAGCAGCATGATGATTAACAAATTCTGACAAGTTCTCTCTAAGGAAAGCTGAATCAGTCAACTGCTGGTGCAGAGTAAATGTTTATAAAGTGCAAAGTAGACTAGGTTTGCATGCGGATGTTTTCTATTAAAGTATAAATTGCCATATAGGTTAGTGATAATTACATGAGTGTAACTGAGCCCTCATGAGTATTCTGCATTCCTGAATAATAACATTACTGTACACTTCTAGATGTGCACTGTTATCTTCATTTACCTTCTGCTTTAACTGAATTCTGTTAATTTTCCTGTGTGTCATACTGCAGGCACAAACTTACATTGATAGAAATTACTTTGTGGACAAAGCCATTCATTTCCCATGCCCTATGAAAATGTATACATCTCACAAAACCCACTATATTATTATATGGTGGCTTTAAACACCTTTTAAAATCTTAGTGAAGAGAAAAGAGCTGTCACTTTCAAATGCCTTTGCTGGCTGAGCAAAATGACACTGGTGAACTAGGATTTGCATCTGTCTGCTGATGTATGTTGAAACTAAAATTGGTGAGGTCTGCAGAATGATTCTAGCAAATAAAATGTCAGGTGCCCTGGCAACATAATCCATGATTTGGTTTTGCATCAATTTTCTGCAAAGACTTGATTTTGTTTTTCGGAGTAACACCAGTGTATGTCATTCATGGAATTTTGGCTACTCAAAGCATTCAGTGCTACAAAAGCCACAAGAGCAGAATTTTTAAATCAAGGAGCAGAATACACTGAAAAGGAGGAACTCAGGTAGCTCAGGGAAAAAAAAAAAAAAAAAGAAAAAGATTAAGATTAAGAAAGGGTTTTTCATTTGTGTGTCTCTATTTTTATAATCATTAACACTAAACATGCATTTTTCTGGACAACATCAACACAACTTCCTAGCACTTTTGCATGGGTCTGAAGAAGGGCTTCTGAGTCTGCCAGTTATTTGAATGGTCAAGTGATAGAATTGCCTTCATACTATTTTTGCCTCACTTTTGTATTAGTTAAATGACTAATGCCCACAAAAGCACCAGTAAATGATGAAATGTTTTAAAGAATATTAATATGAAGATATTATAAGGACAGGTAACCCTGCAGCTGGGAAAATAGGAATTTGGGAAAAAAGTATCCCAAAACCATAATTGTGGTTAATCTCTTCCCATCTATCAGAAAGCTAGATTAATTTGTTAAAAACTGACTCCAAGATGAACTTCCCCACCAGCCAAGAGAAATTTTCCTCTCATTGTTGCTAGTCAATTTGTTACTTGCTTTATCTCTTGATTTGTTTGATGTTAGGTTCACGCTTCCTAAGGCAAGCTCAACACTGATTGTGGGTCCTACCAGAGACCTCCTACATACCTTTGATGGAATATAAAATACTCTCACAGCTAGAGGGATGTGATAAATTTCTGTTTGTTTAAACAAATGTTTGTGATCTTAACTTTTCAAGTTTGCCCTACAAATCACTTATGCTTTAAACAAGGCAGCATGAAAACAATTATCCTGTCAGAACTCACAAACTTTCAAAGGGGATATTTTAATTATATAATGGCAATTACTGGCACACGTGCATTACACTTGAAGCATGACAAGCCCTCTCCCCTTTCTTGTAATCTGATCCTGACTTGCAGGATCTGTAATAAACGTGTCCTAGAGCATCTACGTTTTTTAATTTTGTCCAATAATTTTGCTGACTCAGCACCAATTATTTTAAAAGCTGTTGCTAACAAATGATAACCTTGAATTAAGTCTGGCTTAGCAAACCATCTGTTGGCAGTTTCAAACTCGAACAATACAAGGCAGCAAATACAAAAGGTGGCTTTCATCACAAAAGTTTTCACTTGAAGTTATCGAAAAGCAACTGGGCTGGTAGGAGCTACTAAGAGGAAACCACCCATCTAAGAAGGAGATATCGGGCTTGCACCACTGTGTAGATGGGCACTCAAAAGCTCACTTTCTACTAGTTTATTGTGGCAATTCAGTTATATATATGTTTATGTGTGCTTAGGCATGTATTCCAGACTTTTTTTTTTGGTTTCCACATATGTGGTCATCTGTATATGTACACTCACATACAAGCTTACTGAAAGAAAGCAGATATAGCTATATATACTAATATGCATTCTCAGCTGTTGTTGCTCTATGAGAGGTCAAATACATGATGGATATGACAGAACTGGGGTAGTGGCCAGGTATATTTCCCTTGCTCAGCTCCACCGTCCAGCAAACATACACGTACATGCACGCATGCTGTCAATGAGACCCAGAGGGTCTTTTGCAGCCTAGCAAAAAGTTTAAAAGGAAACTATAGATTGCTCATAAGACTTTGGCCAGCAGCCCATTCCTTATACATCACATGCCATAGAAAGGTATATTGCACCAGGGACTTGCCCAGGCAGTTGCTAAAACTGTGTGTTTGACAGGTATAGATTTAAAGAGGCCATAGGTAAGAAATAGCAAAGACGCTGCTCATGCCCTTGTTCATAGATGCCAAGAAGGATCACAGGGCAAGAATTATTTTATTCCCCATATAGATTTGTGCAGAACTCTTATTCTAATAGCGACATGTGGACACAGCTGAAAAATAAATATTTATACTTGATTAATTGAAAACATCATTAATAATGTAAATTTCTCCACTTTCTTTCAGCAAGTTTCTAAGAAGCAAGGGTGAACAGCTTACTGATCCAAGGCAGATCTCTGACATGTGGGAGATTTCCTCACCAAAAGGCAATAAAAACAATTGTAGTATTTGCACTTTGTACTTAAAAATGTAAATTCACTTTGTAGAAAAAAACAAAATATTTAAAAAGACTTTTTTTTTTTAATCTGTGAAAATGTAACAGCTAGTTTTGAAAAATTATCACATACAATGTATGTGTATTCTTTTGTTGTTGAAATATGTGAAACATGTTGGAGATGTAAAAGTTTGCATTTAAACCGTTTTTTTTTTTAAAATAGCTTTTTGGCGAATAGTGGCATAGAAGCCCGATTCTATGTATTTGGTTTCAATAGTATACCTTGTTTTTATTTAATCAGTACTGTCATTTAAGTAGAGTTATGCTGAAAAGTCTACTGTATTCTCAATTTTGTCCAAGCAGTGTTGGATGTTTCAGGATTGCAGGACTGAAGGGAGTGTGTAAATTGCTGTTTACTTGGGTTTGCAGATTTTAACTGAACAGATCTTTCATCGGTGGCAATATTTTATTTAATCGTTATTGTGATTATTATGCATTCTGAAGATCGTACAGTGAGAATGCAACCTCTAATGGATTAAAAACAGTTATTCTACAGTTGGGCTACTTGTCAAAAAACATATTTTGTTATCCACTTTTGAGGTGTCTTCCATTCTAAATCCTGGTAGGATTTTTTTTTTCCCGTTTGTTTTTGCTTGAGTTGTTAATACAGCAAACCAACAAGGAGTGAGGTGAATTGTAAAGTCACTCCAATCTGGTTCAGCCTGGGTCTAAAAGCACGTTTCTTTGGTCAGTGTAAAGCAGCAGTAGAGTTTATATGGGTCGGAATTGTAAATCTAACTATAAAGAGACAAGGAAGGCTACACAGATTGTTCAGCATTTTCTTCCCCTGCACCTGGTTGTCCCCATCAACTCTTTGGTTTGCCTCAGGGTCCACTAGAGGTAAAGCTGAGCAAATTATGAGCAATTGCTGTCAGGAGGGGCTACTCACATCACCCCTGCCTTAGGCTTTTTCTTTCCTGACTGAAAGAACTTCTCACATGTTTTCATAACTTCTCTGTCGTTTCTCCCCTCAGTGCATTTTTGTATGTGTGCCTGAGGGGACTAAGAACTTGTGAATGTGAATTCAGAGCAGGGGACCCAAGAAAGAAACACAGCTCTCGAGCAGCTGTGAGTTACAAGCAGCTGGGTTGATCGATGCAGTGGTAGATGGACTGCTGGCATCTAGGACTTGACATGAAAAAGCAAGAATGTTGCAACAAGCAGTGATTTCGTCTTGTTTGGTTTAAAAACATGTGGGATCTGACTTGTGACTACCTAATCACAATAGCACCCTGGCTTGAACTTGTACCTGGAAAAGCTTTTTTTACGAATAAAGATATTTCATTTCAATTTCAACATATGCTGAAGTGTTAGGAAACACTGTCCGCAGTGGAATTATACCCAAGAAATCGTGTACTCTAAGCTTTTGCAGCAGGAGGAAACCAAGATGCAACTGTGTGTTATCTTGTATTTTTGTTTTTAAAAGTATTTGTTATTCTTTTATACTGTTAAACTTTGAATTTAAACTTCTTTATAGATTAAAGATCAGTATATTATCAAACTGTGCTGGTGATTTTTATTCTACAACACAGATAGCCATGTCTGGAAGCAGGTACAGTTAGGGGTGACTTCACTATTGCTTTGAGTTTACAAGAAAACATGTGGCCTCATATTGGGTCTATCTTCTTTTCTTCCTTTGCCCCTTTACTGAATTCTCTCCTAAGATCATTCATGCCTTATTCATACCATTGCTTTCTCAAAATAGTGATTTTGAAGCCAGATCCTTTGTTGCTACTATCTCCATATAGCTTTAGCTTGGTCTCTTGCCTTTTCATTGCAAAGAACAGTGTGGCATTTTCTCCTCAGTGTGAGTGTGAGCTGCTAGGCAATGTTCAGCCTGACTGGAAACAGTGAGGAGACAGAGGCAAACCCTGAGCATGCTCGCTTATCAAAAGACAAATAAAGGCTATAGGCATCCTCTTAGGTATCCAAAGACTTCTGCAGCATAGTGTCATTTAATGACTCTGCAATGACTAATTCATGAGATATTTCATCTTCGTACATATTTCAATGTCGTCACATTTATGGTTCATTTTCCAGCCATTTCCAGCCATTACACCACTTGGCTACAAGCAGTACTGAGTACTCGTAGTTGCAGCTATAGTCCAGATCCCTAACTGGAACACACTTGAAAGCCTGATGCATTCCATTTTGGTTCCTGTAGCTCCCATATATCCACAAGATAGTTAAACTCAGATAGATCTTGGCCCTTCTAGTTGCAACAAAGCACATCCTTGGTACCAAAAAGGAATCCATGTGATTAGGCCCTTAGGCTCACACCGCAGTACCAGTGTTTGTTTAGTTCCACTGTAATTAATTAGTTCTAGGTTTTATCCTATTCCATATGCAATGTTTTAGTTTCAGTTTTTAATTCTGTTCTCATTGAAAGCACAACTTTCAATAAGTTTCAGTATTCTGCTTCTCATTGACCATTGTTTGTTGTAGTTCCAGCTGTTGCTGAACAGATTTATTTAGAGCTTTTATAAAGTTGTAAGTAGAAGACTGTTAAGTTTTAAGACTGTGTTGTGTTCAATGATTTGTCCAGCCTGTTGCAACGTCCATTAGCCAACAGGCCACACAGTGAGAAATGTTCCGTGTTTTGTCAACACTTTGGATAACTTTCTCATCTTGTTCCCAGCCCTAGAAGTAAGCCAACTTCATAACTTTATAGCTTCAGTTTTACCAAAATCACTTGATTCTCACTCTTCTTCTAGTCTAAAAAAAAATGCCTAAATTTCAGATACGTGTTTTGCAGAACTGGGACCTAAATGATAGCTCAGAATGAAAATTCTTCTTGCTAATGTGGTTTCAGATAACACAAGAGCTAAAAAGCATCAGTTCATATGAGAGAAAATACTTCAACTAAATACTCACTGCTTATAAATAAAGGAATCCTTTTTACTTTTCTCATTTGGACCAGGCTTTTGCCCTTCGTGTCATAAACCAATGGAGAAAGTAGGTATTCCTAGAAATTTGAAAGGAAAAACAAAAATATAGGTTGCATCATTAAAGACATTTAAGTGTGTTCCACATTTTATAGGTTTAATTTTGCAGTAGTAATAAAAGATGAATTAATAGATTTAAGAAATAGGTTAAGAAATCTTCTTTGGCAAAGATAATTTAGTTGTCCTTTTTAAATATTTACACTAGTGTACTATATAACTGCGTTATAGTAACTAGTGTGAAAGAGTCTTTAATGCAGAAAGTGAAGGGTTTATTACTTTTGCTTTCTTTAGGCTGGCAATTGGATGTCATTTTGGGTAATTACTTTGACATTAAATAGCAACCGACTAAGTTTATTGGTCTGAAACATTACAATGATTATAGCAAATTACTGATATAAACTGTACTCTTTGTCCCATTTAATTTTTTCAGTTCAAGTTTTATAAGTGAAAATACGCACTTTGTTTAAAAAGCATAAATAATAGATGTTATTTTTTTCTTTCAACAAAATCTCATGTGAAGAACATTCGAACACACATTTCTCTACAGCATCCAATGAGAGGGGTGAGAGGGAAAGAAGCCTGACTTTTTTATCTAGGTTAGCAGTAGAAATTGATGAAAATATAGAAATATTTGCCTTTACTACATCCACCATTCTTATTTCATCATACACTTTGTACTCTGAGTAATGTTACTGCTGGAATACAAAGCCTATTGGAAAGGAAGACGATGAAATGAGATCCCATTTTGTGCATGCAATCTTTTCCATAAAATACAGTCATCTGAGTCATTCTTTCCCTAGAGACTCTCTTTATTCTTTACATCAATTTGATGCATAAGATTGCTTGCTTCTTATCAAATACAGATTTCTTTGCACAGGCATGGAATCCATTCTTGGCTATATGGGTACTTTATGAAGAAAATAATAGATGAGAGATTAGCGCAGATTGTAAGTGGAAGGCTGCAATTTTGTATTACACCACAAATTAGTTTATAAAGGTTTATAAAACCAACTCAATGCCTTAAAAATATCCATGAAGATGCCTATATCTGTTCTAAGTTGTTAGTCAGGGGAAAAAAAAAAAAAAAAAGGAAAAAGGAGAAAAAAGAGGTGAATGAAGTTTCCATTGAGAAACATTGTTTTCACTAAACCATGACAGACAGATTTCATGTGAGGGTTTCCATGAAATTTCACTTTTAAAAGTGTGTGTGGTTATTTTTATGCTGAAACTTCTTTTCCTTTATCTAAAAAGCATGAAGTGGCAACATGGAAAAGGGGTAAATTTTGACACTGATTTTGTGCCAAAATTAGATGTTGTGAAAGGTAGCAGCATTCTTGATCTTCCTCTGACTTCTTTAAGAAAAAAAAAGGTATTTGTTTGAAAGAAGTCAGTTTTCTGTACATTATCATACTTCACCTGAGTGTCATTTTACAACCTTTGGGTACCTTGTTGTCTCTATATGAGGTAAGGAAATGCTACATTTTCATTTAAGAGGTTGCTGAACTGGTGAACTTAGCAGTGTATGCACACAGATTGTGAAGAAAGCTGCAGTACGAGTAAGGGTATTTATACTAGTTTGTGTCTATGCAGCACAGTTGAATCAGTGTGAATCAGTGACCTGCAGAAATATATAGGGCACTTTTCCAGCTTTCAAGCAAGCCTGCCATGGGACTGAATTCAAACAGTTCCAAACCTAAAACAATATCCTGGTGTGTTTTTATCTTTTACCAATCATTTCACTTAAAGGCTGGTGGGTGCCAAATGCCTCTTTGACTACTACTTGAGGAGCACCTCTAGCTCTGCTGGCAAGTAGCTCCCCAGGTAGTCTTCCTGAACCCACAGCTTGGGTTCAGTCTTCTGAGAGCCCAGGCTGGCATACCAGTGGGACCAAGACGCAGAACAAAGAACACAAAAACCCCATGATGACTGATACTGTAAGTTACAGGATATTAGTCTACAGCTCAGGTTTTTTTTTACCCAGGTGGGCTGCCCTGTATCATCAATGACAAACCCTAACTTCTTGCTTCATAATCCATCAAATGTATTCAGTGACAGGATATTATGCTTCAACCAAGTGGGAGTCAATGTGAGTCTTAGCTGAAGAGTATTTCAGAAATACTGTGACCCCTCAGCATATCCATGTGCTCAGTTAGTTGCCACCTAGCAATTCCTCTTTCTGCTCAGCACCATGTAATGGAGCAGTGTCTGCATGCACCAGCTCTTTAATGCCCTGAAGACAGGTGTGCTTCTCTCAGTCTGAAGTGTATTTCTTTGTGTTGAATGCTCAGTTTTGAGGGAGAAAGCTTGTTCTCTAGCTCATTTCTTGCTGATAACCTAGGAGCCTGAACGGTATTGTTGCTATTTACAGAAGTTTCAAGAACTATTTTGCAAGACAAAATATATGAAGGATGAGGTGCTGAAGTGGAATTAAAAAAAAATGCAGTTTGAAAAAGTGGTAAAAAGAGAGAAGGAAAAAATGAAGCAGAGGAACAGAGGGAGGAGAGCAGTGAAAGGAGGATCATGGAGAGAACACAGGAGAACTGAAGAGGGTGTCCAGAACTCTGTGATAAAGCTATATAGGGGAGTGAAGAAGGAGCAGACAAAGAGAACAAGTAAGGAAGGAGAGATAGCAGATAGAAATGGGAGGAGGGAGTAAAAGGGGAGGAATGACAGAGGAAATAGGAATGGAAACAAAGCAAGGATAGAAATGGTAAAGACAGAAAGAAACCAAACTGCCCATAAGATTTCCACGAGGAGAAAAAATCTGAGGGATCTGGGAGAGAAAAATAACACAGGTGGAAGGAGCACAGGAACGAAGAAACACAGATGAGAGGGAGATCCCAAATTTTTTCTTGGGGTCAACAGCTCTTTCCCACAGCATTACTTTCTGATGTACAGAAGAGATCCAGCCTGCCCTTGGATTCCTTCCCTGTGCATGCATAAGGTCTGAATTTGGACCTCTATCCCAATGGCTCCAGTGCTTTGTTCCAAGAGACATTTGTTTTCATGACCAATTTCAAGGCTTCCTTTAGATCCAGGAAGTCTAAGCAACATTTAATGAAAATGTGAAAGCAGAACCCAGCATATTTCTAAATTAAGAGCAGATTTGATCAGAATGAGGAAATCTGAACCACAACAAAGATAAATTTCCTTTTGTATTTCTTATTCAGTAAAGATGCAAGCAAAGTGTAATTAGACTTTTTTTTTTTTTAATTTTTTATTTCATTGTACTAATAGATCCTCTAGAGGCTTGGCTGATACCCTACAGCTTAGCATTTTCTTTAATCAACACCTTAATGACAAAGGATTACAAGAAAGTAAAGGCTTCTCATTGTCTTTTTTTTTTGTGGTTGCTTTTATGTTAACTCTTAGGGTGGCTAAAAATAAGCATTCAAATACTTCTCAAGATCTTTAATCTAAAGGTTTGTATCTATATGTGAGAGAGAAAAAGGGAGAGAAACAGAGTGCAAGAAATACAGTCAAGAAAATTCAGGAGCCTACAGAAAATATCAAAGGTTCAGATTAGGAACTATTTTCAAGGTAACAAATGTTGCAA